TGGGGCCTTGGGTTATGATAGACAGCTGTATTGTCTATCATTTCCACATAATATTTTAAAAAGATTTTTATAGTTGCTTTCTACTTCTCTCTATAAAGTGGTATGTCTTCCCTTTCTTTACATTCTTCATTTTAGATCTAAGAAGAGTATGAAATCCAGGTGCAGCTGTGCAGGTCTTTCTTCAAGCAGGGTGGATAGTATTCACTTTGCTTTTTTTCACTGTCAGATCTCTCTTAAGGTTCAACCTTCTCTGGATTTGGACTTGGCTCTTTAGCATTGTCTCTAGTTCATCCACTGTTATCTCTGAGAACCCAACCTCCTACTCCACCCCTTGTTCTTAAGTCTAGTTTAGACAATTGGTGCCTTGAGAGTTTGTCAGTGTCTTTCTCTATTTTGTTTCCAGATTACGTGCCAGTTTTGACAAACCAAAAAGAAATCATTTCAAATGAGATCTTACAACCATAGACCCGTGACTTTCCTCTCATGTCCAGGTTTTCTGCTTCATATAGCTTCTTACTTAATGATTTCAGATATAAAATTATTTTATCTTTTATGTTTGGGGAGAAACATGTGTATGAATTTCTCTATCTTTTGTATGGTTATATTTTTCAAGTTGCAGATTTGATTTTTTTTTTAAATGAAGAAAGCACATAGGTGTTTTCATTAATTAAATTTGTAAGTTTTGACCACAGAAATTGTTATTATTTTTAAATAACAAGCACAAAATTAAAAGTCTAGCGCCAGGTACAGTGATGCATGCTGGTGATTCCAGCATTTGGGGGGAATGAGGATCAACATGAATTCAAGGCCAGCCTGAACTACATAGCAAGACCCTGTTTCAAAAAGAAAGGAAGCAAGGAAGGAAGGGAAGAAGGAAAATAGGAAGGAAGGAGGAAGGAATGAAGGGAATATAAATAAAAATAACTGGAAATACTAGATTTTTCACATATTTCAAAGTGGGATCAAGATTTAGGGCCTGCTGAAAATACCGATCTAGCTTTTTGCATGACTCTGTGCTTTGAGTTAGCACTGTAATGTGGTAGTTGAATGAATCAAAAATAAGTCCATCAGAGAACAAAATTATCCAGATTTTATGGGCCTAAACTTATGAGTGATTTGGGGCCTTGCTTTATAGTATGCTTATTAAGGGGAAAAAATCAAATAACTCAAGTTTCTATAACAGCTTTTTGTTTCTCAGGAGATCTGACTAATGTACTCTTTACAAAGTAAAAAATCATTTGATGATAACTTTTGTTTGTCATTGTTATGGATATTGTGTGTCTTACATGATCAGGGAAATATTTTAGAGCTAGTTCTTAGCTATGCCTAATTCATGACTATGTATCTATAGCACATATCTGAAATAGTTGTGAATAGTGTTTGAAACCATTCTTTAGTTCTGGATGAACAAAGGCTAGTATGGTCCTTGAAATGAGAGAACCAACAAGCTTAGTGCCCTGTGTTTGCATCTCTTTCTTTGAGGTCAAGCCTTTATTGTGTTACAGTAGAATTCTGTTAAGGAGGCTAGTACAGTCCAGTCCAGTCAATACAGATTTCTAATCTGCTTATTTATAATTCACAAGCTTGCCTATATATTAATGAACCCTTAATGAGCTGTTGAAAATGCCTGAATTACAGTAAGATTATTAAACTCAAACAGCCCCATAACCATTTGAGTGGGCTTTAGGTACTTTTCACATCTGCAGCTTAGTATTGTGAAGGGTATGCATTTATTCAGAGAAAGCTTTGTAATAATTTTGACCCGCAATTTATTTATTGCCCTCGGAATGCAGTCGTCTATGCAGATGCTCTCTCCCATTATCTGTGGGGCAGGTGCACAGCATGTTGAAAGACAGCTAATTAGGATTTGCTGAAAGATATGCAAAAACTGTGGGCTTATAACAAAGCCAAGTTCATTGTTAAACAATGTTTTACTGTGTTTGTGTGATTTGTCTAAATCTTAGAGATACTGAAATGAATGTTGTGGTTATAAATAGATTGAAAATACGTTTGTTGATGGTTTTTTTTTCACGCAACTTTATACTGCTGTGATGACCAAGAGCCCTGATATAAAACTTTATGAACCTATTTATATGCTTCAGTATACACATATTTCTGATACAAAGCAAGAATAACCAATTTATAAATTACTATTTTACCAAGTTTCAGTGAAAGTATTAGGGTCTTAGAATCACCTCGCAGTCTGATTTATTCTAACCTTTGTAAATTTAGCTCATTACAATTTGTGTAGGTACCCAGAGGATTAGATATTATGACTGGAAGACAAGTATGATTTTGGAAGGTTAGTAAGCTAAGTAATTGAGTGGATTCATGAATAGAGAGGATTAAGAATTCAGTAATAACTCAAATGTAAAGTAAGAAAATAAATGTTAAAATTTTAAATAATTTTGGAAACCACATATTACTATTTAGAACTCTTATTACCATTATTTTGCTTAAAAGAGAAAAAATTTGGAATCATTCTTCAAGCTATAGTTATAAAAATGACTTGATATTGACAGTGTCAGTGCTACCTAGTTGCAAAATGTTTTAGTACTTTTCATGCAACGGACTCTGAATTTTTTGTCAGGAAATGATTTTTCTGATGAGATTTGATGCATATAATTTATAAAGTAAGTATTGAAAGATTGTATCAAGACATTTTTCCTTGTTCTCGAGGCAAATGCATGTTGATTTACTGAGGATTTTAGGAATAAAATTGTTTTGTCACAAGAGGAAAATGTTATGCTAGTTGTTTATACTTAAAATTGTTTTTGTATCCACTGTTACTGAAATTAAGGGTTGCTTCCTATTGGTATAGTGGTGATAGTTTATTTATATACTAGGTTGCATAAAAATATACTTGAGACTTCTGTATTTCTTCCTGATGAATTTACTTGTGTCTCCCATATTGTCTGCTTCCCCATGATTAGTCATGGGCATCTTCTCTTGTCTTTTGCACTTGTATAGGGAAGTACTGAGGACTGTAAACATTTTGTAATCAAGTATGGCTGTTCATTACTATTAAATTCATCATATGTCCATAGGTAAAAGGTCATTGTGGTTAAATACATACAAAAGAAAAATTAGAAAGCTGGCATAATCTTGAAAGTAGATTAAACACACACACACACACACACACACACACACACACACACACACACACCCTAGGAGAAGCATCATTATCTGTAAATAAAATAAGTAATAAATATGCAAAAATATGAGCAAACATTGAATTTAAAAAGGATAAACTTAGGGAAGCCCCCAAACAAATATAAAATGAAACAGAGTCCAAAGTGCAAGATAAAAGATTATTTAGTAATCCCTTACAGCATGTCAAGGACATAGAAAACTTCGTGTATGAACTGTGAGCATGTTCAGGCCACAAGATTATAACATTTAAAATGTCTTAGTGAATTAGAAGAGAAGAAAATAAAAGATATTAAAACACCAACTTAATTAATATAGGCCATTCTAGGTCAGTATTAGGCAGGTTTTTTTGTTATTATTCTAAAAGAAATAGCCAAATTGGTTATCAGCAGTGAATGAATACATTAATACAAATTTTATCTTGTTAGACTCATACATGTAATTTGTTTCCCTGAATGAATTTATTGTCTTAGTATATTATAGTTTTTAGGTCTTACCTATTTGCCTCTGAATAGGCAATAGATATAATTTTAAATTAATTATGTTTGTTTCATTATCTACTTGAACTTATTCTAAAATATACTTTCATTTCAAGGGAGGAAATTAAAGTTGTGTGTGTTAAGATAACCAAGAGTGCTGTCAGGCTGTGGGTGTAGTTCAGGACACCTATGGATGCAGTCTGCTCTTTAAAAGACTGATGGTAGTTTTAGGTTAGCATAAGAAGTCACAGAGCTGGTGATCAGTTGAGTACTTGGCAGCTTATAGATGTTACTGTCATGTAAGTTGCAGTAGACACAGAGTGTGTACCACTGTGGATAAACAATAACAGGCATGATGTAAAAGGCAGAATCCAAATACAAACATGCAAGATGCCAACTTCTCTCCCTCTCTTTCCCAAGAAGCCTCATAAATAGTGTGGGGAACCTGCTTTTAAACAGATTCACAGAGGTTAATTGGGCTGGGATATATTAGGTTCTGTTACACATTAATGAAAATGCTGATTTTGAGCTGTCATGACTCCAGTGCTTTTTGTACCATGATAATTATTTTTAAACTTTGTCTTCTGTGTTGTCGAAAACATCTTGGCAGAAAGCCTGTGTGACCTGATTAAACCTATGAATTGTCAGCTGTGATCTATAGTACTCAGAAGAGGTTGCTGACTGGGCATCACTTAGGAAGTTTTTGATTTAAAAGCAAAATTAGATTGAGACTACTGTGTCGAGCACTGTATTCCACATCTGTGGCACATTTTTAATACTGTATTTAGTGTTCTGGTTTTATAGTTTGCTGACAATTTCTTAAATATATGGTAACTATAGCTAGATGCCTCGTTTTACACATTTTCTTCTGAAATTCCATGATGGTTTTGCCATCTAATCCTGTTTATTTTCTAATTTTTGGGTATAGCTTGTGGATTAATTTGTGGAATTTTAGTTATGACTTTTTCCAATTGTACAGAGATAGAGCAACTACCTTTTGAATGTATTTTTATATCTCTGAAATTAGTTTTTTTTTTTTTAAACCCTCAATTTCCCCCTTTCTATTTTATGGTAAAATCATCTAAATCTAACAAACTTGTATGATTAACTTATTCCAAGAAGTCAGGATTACCTTTTCCTAAGAATCCAATGTGGGATAATTTGGAGAATATTAGAAATTTTGGAATGCATGTCAGTATTGTTTTGAAAGTAATTTTTGTACTTAGACATATTGATCAAATGTGAATGATGAAATTCTCAGCATGAATTGTAGTACACTGATGTTGTTTGATCATTTTCTCAAATAAACAAAATACTCACACTGTTTGTCCTCTGTTTCTCGCTTCTTCTCTGTCTCTCTTTTCCTTGAAGGTCTCAGCATCAGAGGAGCCCAGGAGGAAGACCCTCCCGATCCCCAGCTAATGAGACTGGACAATATGCTTTTGGCAGAAGGGGTTTCAGGTCCTGAGAAAGGTGGGGGATCGGCGGCAGCAGCTGCAGCCGCGGCAGCCTCTGGAGGTTCTTCAGATAACTCTATTGAACACTCAGATTACAGAGCCAAATTGACCCAGATCAGACAAATCTATCACACAGAACTGGAGAAATATGAACAGGTCAGCAGCCGCCACTCTCATAGTCCTGCACAAACCCTCTATTGCTCTTCTACTATACAGTGCTAATGATTTTGAGGGCTGTGAAGGGTAGGTGTTAATATGAAGAGCAAAATATATAAGGATGATGCCAAGATCCAAATGAGTTGTTGAAGTCATGAAATGAAGACCTGTTGAGATTTTGGAGGTGAAGCTAACCCTATTTTATCCCATCGACTTGTTTTAGTTTTATTTATTCTTCACATGCACGAGCCCTTACTATTATTCCTATAATCTTCTACCCTAAACCCTCAGACTCACTACATACTTGGTGACCTTCAGAGCTCTGTATAATTATATTTACATGCTGGCTTTGTTCATAAACTTTAACAATTTTTGAAGGGAGGCATTGCATAAGTGAGCTTTTATCTCCTATTCTGTGAGCTCTAGAATCCTCCCAGGAATTAATTCTTATAGACTATGCCAGACTACTATATAGGAAATGAACTAACTTCACAAAGTAAGCAGGTTCTGGCTGTCTTTCTAAGGATGAAACCTCCCAGGATAATTATGGGTACCTTAAGACAGAACATACTCAGCATTGTGTGCTAAATTTATGTATTTTTATTGTTATTTAAATTTATGATTACAAACAAATTAAGGACTAAAAGTTCTGTTCTCAGCAATTTTATTAACTGTGCTTCATCAAATCTAATGTATCTTAGAGTTTAAACTGCATTGTTTTATGTACCACCAAGAAAAATGTCAACCTTGCCAATTTAACTAAATCATCCCATTAAATACAAAATGCTTCCAAACTTCAGAGATATTAAAATATGGAGGAGAATAAGTGGGTTCTAGGTTCAAGCTAAGAAGATAAAATGGTGATTCATTTTAAACATACTGAATTAGTTTAAAGCTAAAATGCTTTTTAGTTTGAAGAACTCTCATTTGATTAGAATTTTCATTTGAAGGGAATTTAAGAAACCATTCTCATGGAAACTTTTAAACATACACAAAAAATAAGGAAATAGTATTGGGTTGAATCCAATGCAGTTACCAAGTTTTGAGGGTCAGATAGATTTGGAAGTTGGGCACAGTGCTGTAATCCCAGCAGGTGTCTATAGTTATGGTTACTTGGGAAGCTGAGACAGTAAAAGCACTTGAGTCCAGGAATTCCAAGAGTAGCCTGGGGGCAGGGAACGTAGCTCTGTGGTACAGCACCTGCCTGGCAAGCAAGAGATCTTGAGTTCACTTCCCCCAGCACCTAAATAAATAAATAACTAAATAAATAAAACAAACCACCAAGAGTAGCCTGGGCAGCGTAGCATAAGAATACTGTGCCTCACAAATAAGAAATTTGCGTATCGATGATTTCGTAGGAGTCAACCCAAAATAACATTTTGCAATTTTTTTTGTCTATTTCTCCCTTAGACTTTCTGATGGAAAATTTATTTATTTATTTATTTATTTATTTATTTATTTATTTATATTTTTAGGGAAGAATTTCCAGAGTGTTCAGGGTCTCACTACTAGATTGGATTCGTAGTGATCTGCCTGTTTACAGCCTCCCAAGAGCTGGGATTATAGGCACGTGCCACCACACCCAGTCTCAATTGCCGTCTCAGCGCACCCCGGGGGCTGGGACCAGCACAGCAGGCCTAGGGATGAAACCCTCAGCCCCTGCTCCTGCTTGCAGGTGCTTTCATCCACTGAGCTATTTGGCCGGCCCTTCTGATGGAAAATTTGAAAGCAAGTTTTAGTCATAGTATAATCATCTACTACAGTGTTATTTTACGTTCTTGATGAGCTTTTCAAAAGACTTTTTGTGCTTAGAGCAGTTTTAGGTTAACAGTGACATTATGAGGGAATTATAGACATATCTACATATTCCTTGGTGCCACATATGCATAGCCCTGCCCATTATCAGCATCTCCCACTAGAGTGATACAGTATTACAGTGATGGATCTGCATTGACGTGTCATTGCCTAAAGTCCATAGCTTACATTATGGTTCATTCTTGATGATGTGAATTTTATGGACTTGGACAATTACACAACCTAATAGGACCGTACTGAATATTTTCATTGTCCTGAAGATTCTTTGGTGTTCTTCATCCCTCTCCTTCCGTCTTACTTTCTCCACTAATCCCTAGTAACTCATGTTCAGTTTTAATACTGGTTTTTCTTATAAGTTAACTATATAGTTTCACTTATATTACATTTCTTTCCCAACCTCCATTGCCTTTTCTCATACTCTGGATATTATGGTACTGAATGCCGAATTCTGTCCCAGGAGTTATTGTTTTTAGAGAGAGAGAAGAAAGATTTATAGAGTATTAGATCTTTACATGAAATGTAAGTTAATACTATAAAATTTTTCTATTTTTTCAAATAAAGACTTTGTGGGATCTAAAGTGTATTTCATTTGTAGGAATAAATTTTGGAAGAGAGTATGTCAATAAAAATTTTGAACCACAGGTCAGCGCCAGCCCTACCCCCGAGCATGCTGAGCTGGCCACCAAGACCAGGTATGGTGGCACATGCCTGTAATTCCAGCACTGGGGAGGCTGAAAACAGGAGGTTCACTATGAGTCTGAGCTGTATAATGAGACACTGTGCCAAATACATTTTTTAAAAAAAGAATTTTGGAAAAATTATCATATACGTGTATATGAAAAAAATCTAGCTTTCTTATTTGACATGTGAATAATTGAATGTAAACAGACTAAATCATAGTTGAAAAGGTTGCCTTGAGCATAAACAGTAGAAAATGGTTCTAATTTGTAGTATAATTCTAATTGCATAACTTTATGTTAAATACATCTGTACATATTTACTAGGTGGATATCACCATTCACCTTGCCTGAAAATATGTACAGTACAATATTAGATGACAAATGGCCCACATTTTGGCTAAAGAATTAAGGTGATTTCTTACTATTCCTAGCCATGTTTCTTCCCCTCTGCCTTGTTATTTTCTCCACATCACCTTTTTCGAAGTTAGGCATTGCTGGCTGGCATTAGTCAGTGGACAGGATTTGAGCCTCATAACTTTAGAAATACCCTAGATTGGGGCCAGCCTGATAGTTTAGTGGACCAAAGCGCCTAATTAGGCAGAACACAATGGCCACAGTTTGATCCCTGTCCTGCCATTCTGGCCTTGCCCATGGGGCATGCTGAGCCGGCAGTAGAGACTGGACTTGGTGGCATGTGCCTGTAATCCCAGCAGTTGGGAGGCTTAAAACAGGAGAATCACTACGAGTATGTTCTATGTAGTGAGATCCTATAGACCTTGTAACTAAATATGGGAAAAAAACAAAAACAAAAACAAAACAAAAAAAAAACAACCTTATAGATTCCCTAGATTTTTAGTAACTCTAATCTCAGCTAATATTAGAATGAAATCACCAGGATTTTTAAGGGGGACAGGATATTTGTTTGCTTTTGTTTCTTTGCTTTAAAAATACACCTATGTAACACACAGGTTCTGTATCACTTAAGATTTTTTGTGTGTTTTAGTATTAAATATAAAATTGGGAAATAAATCATGAGTGTTATTTCTAGTTATAGTAGTAGCCTAATAACCATTTAATGCATATTTTGTTCTCATGTTTAAATACTTTCAGAAGCAAAAATACATGAAATTTCTGCAATATTATGGACAAATACATGTGGTATGATGATTAATTGGAAGAATCAGAATTAAAAAAAAATTTTTAATGTGTTTGGTAGAGGGTCTCACTATGCAGCTCAGACTTGTAGTGATCCTCCTGTTTTTAGCCTCCCAATGCTGGGATTACAGGCATGTACCACCAAGCTGGGTCTCATTGGCTGACTCAGCACACCTGGGGGTGAGGCCGGCATGGCATGTGGTGCTAGGGATCAAACCCCGGTTCCTGTGCTTGCCTAAGCAGGTGCTTAGTCCACTGAACTATCTTGCTAGCCCAAATCAGCAGAATTTTGCTTTACAAACTTTTCTCTATAAGTTCTAAATTGTTTTAGAAATTGTATGGAAGCATTTAGTTCTCTTGTTGTCTTGGACCTGGCTTTTATTGCTCTTCCATCTGTAGTTCTCCTAAGTTATTAGGATTGATGATTTTTGCCACAAAGGAGTAATTTTCTTTTCAATTGTTTAGGGTACAAGAATATATGGATCTTTCAGAAATATACTGTGATGTTAGAAGAAGGGCTAAAGAGGGCTATATGAAGTAAAGGGAGTATATTTCTTTTTTTTTTAATATTTATTTATTTTTATTTATTACATTTATTTATTGTGTGTTTGTGTGTGTGGCCAGCTCAGCCCACCAGGGGGCGGGGCTGGCTGGCATGTGGTGCCGGGGATCGAACCGAGGTCCCTGTGCTTTGCCAAGCTTGTTTCAAGTAGGTGCTTTAGACCACTGAACCATCTCGCCAGCCCAGGGAGTATATTTCTAAAATAGATAATACTGTAATTTCCATTTTAGAGATACGAAAATGAGAATCACAGGTTAAATGATTTGTCCAATGTCATTTATTAGTGTCAGAATCAGGCATTGAAATCAGTTTCTGACAATATGCCATCCTTGACCATTGACTTTTGTAGCTGCCCATGTAGAATTCAGAAACAAATCAAGTACATTTTGGATTTGCCCTTAGTGGATTGTATTTGAAATGGAAACAAAGCACATGGGAGAACATTTTAATTTGTTTCCACAAAACTATGTTTTCTTTGCAAAAGTGATCATTAGTATTCTGAGTGACAGAAGGTATATCAGTAAATAGAACATATATGTTAAGATAGAGGCTTCATTACAGAATTGCATTGAGCTTTACTACAATAAAAACTACATAGTAATTTTAGTTTTTCACTGTACTGTCTTTTTCATTGAACCTATAATCAAAATGTATCTGAATCCTTTTTAGATTTAGAATGCCACAAAATTAACAAATACCACTACTGCAGTAAACTAAAATACCGTGTAAGTACTACCATATGTACAAAGCTGAACAGACTGGAACCTATAATTTGAGGAAATTTTTAT